ACCCCCTCCGCATCCTCCCACCCACCAGCCAGCGCGCCCCTCCGCCCCGACCCCTTTATCCGTAAGGGCTTCGCCCCCTGCCGCCGGCCCCCTCTCTCGGAGAATGGGCCATGGAAGAGCTAAGTCATGAGGCTTTGGCGCTGTCGTGCAGCAGTATCGGAACTTCATGCGAGGCCGATTCGCAATCGGCAAAACCAACTGATCACAAGAGGGGTTACCACACAGGGCGATTGGTAAGACGTGTATGGTTTACGAGCTTGGTTACCACACCTTGGGATTACAGGGCCGAGGGAGTACTCGCAGTTTGGGTTACCACGCCTTGCGATGGATGTGCGTGAGGGGTGGCACCGAATTTCAGAAATGTGGCAAATCCCCTGTGTTTTTGGACCCTGACCCCGCGGATCTGCGTGAGGGGTGGCACCGAATTTCAGAAATGTGGCAAATCCCTTGTGTTTTTGGACCCTGACCCCGCGGATCTGCGTGAGGGGTGGCACCGAATTTCAGAAATGTGGCAAATCCCTGTGTTTTTGGACCCTGACCCCGCGGATCTGCGTGAGGGGTGGCACCGAATTTCAGAAATGTGGCAAATCCCCTGTGTTTTTGGACCCTGACCCCGCGGATCTGCGTGAGGGGTGGCACCGAATTTCAGAAATGTGGCAAATCCCTTGTGTTTTTGGACCCTGACCCCGCGGATCTGCGTGAGGGGTGGCACCGAATTTCAGAAATGTGGCAAATCCCTTGTGTTTTTGGACCCTGACCCCGCGGATCTGCGTGAGGGGTGGTACCGAATTTCAGAAATGTGGCAAATCCCTTGTGTTTTTGGACCCTGACCCTGCGGATCTGCATGAGGGGTGGCACCGAATTTCAGAAATGTGGCAAATCCCATGTGTTTTTGGACCCTGACCCCGCGGATCTGCGTGAGGGGTGTCGATTTCGAGCCCCCCCAGCAATTCAGACAACGCGCCCAGGGGACGCTAAAAATCCCGTTTGGGCCTCCCCCCCCCTCGCGCGGTCAATCAACTAGGTAACCAGCAAGAAGTCAACTAGTTACAGTAACCAGCAAGAAGCAGAACTGTAACACTGGAAACTACAAGCTACAACTGGTACTGGAAACTGCGAACCCGTGCCTCGCAGCCTGGTGGCCCCACAAGGGGGCCGGCGGATTCACGGCACGGCACGGCACGGCACGGCACGGCACGGCACGGCACGGCACGGCACGGCACGGCACGGCACGGCACGGCACGGCACGGCACGGCACGGCACGGCACGGCACGACACACACACACACACACACACACACACGCACGCACGCACGCAACGCACGCACGCACCACGCACACGCACGCACGCACGCACGCACGCACGCGCGCACGCACGCACGCACGCACGCACGCACGCACGCACGCACGCACGCACGCACGCACGCACGCACGCACACACACACACACACACACACACACACACACACACGCACACCGCATCCCCACCACCCACCAGCCAGCGCGCCCCTTCCGCCCCGCGACCCCTTTTTTTCAGCACGGCCTTCGCTCCTTCCCCGCGCGCCCCCTTCCGCGTCCACCCGACCCACCAGCCAGCGCACCCACTCACAAGCCAACGCGCCCCTCCACCCCGACCCCTTTTTTATTTCGGCACGGCGCACCCCTCCGACCCTCCCCCTTTCCGTTGTGTGCAAGAGCCATGGCACACGTGCCACTTGTTGGTCCACTCCCTCCGGTGTTATATGAGTTTTTCAACTGAAGTGCCCCTCCTGGGGCTCGCACGTGCTTCAATTACCAAGGATCAGCTTCGGTATTGAATTTGCAGTTGCCCCCGGATTATAACAACAACGGCCCCCGCCCGATACATCCTCACAACTGATTGAAAATCGCGTTCCCACTTATCATTCCCTCGCAATTTACACAGGAATCGCGCGCCCGGATGGGCTTTCTGGTAAGTTTATTCAGGGGCCACGTCCTCGACGCTCAAGAACCGTGCTCTCGCCCAGGACTTCCCGACATTTACTTGGGAATCTCGCTATCGCTAAAGACATCCTCGCGAGTCATGCAGGATTCATGTTTCAGCGACCCGCCCGCTCGACCCGGTTGTCAGGGTCCGCCCGCCCGACCCGTCCGTGAACGTCCCCCCTCCCAACCCGCCCGTCTAGTTTTGCCGCTTGTTTTCGTGCCTCCCTCTTCCCCCTTTCCTCCTCCTTTTTTCCCCTATTGTTTTCCTCGTTTGTTTCGTTTCCTGTATCCCTACCTCTTCCTGGTTCATGGGCTGCGCCAATTACGCGTGGCAGGTGAGGAAGATATGCCCCCAAAGGGGTTACGTTCGAAGATGAAGAGATCGTGTGCAGATTGCTTGGGATATACATGTCACGCATGCATATGAAAGCGACCAGTAGCAAAATCATTGCTGATGAGTTCTCACTCCTGCAGCAAAAATTGTTGGTGCACCCCTTTTCGGTAATAGATGAGGGTTTAAACTAAAGTGTTCACCCCAGGGCTCGCACTCATTGAATTACCAGGGACAGGCTTGGGTCTTCAAATTGTGTGGTTGCCCCCCCCGAACTATAACAACAACGGTTCCCGCCTGACACTTGTTACAAATGTGTAGAGGAATCAGGTTTTCGCTGAATGCACTCTTGCAATTTGCCCGAGAATTGTACTCTCGCGCAGGACTTCCCCACAATTTACTCAGACGCCGGGCGTCGACACTCAGGAATCATGGTCTCGCTTTGAATACCCTCGTGGTTTACTTGGGAATCGCGCTATCACTAGAGACTTCCTCGCGATTCATCCAGGACTCACGCTTCAGCGACCCGCCCGTTTGGGTCCGCCCGCCCTACCCGTTCGTTACGGTCCATCCGCCCGACCCGCCCGTCTGGTTTTGCCGATTGTTTTCTTGCTTCACGTTTCTCTCTTGCTAATTTCACACGTGCTCCATGATTATCCCTCCCATGTTGCCCCAGGGCAGGACCTAAACGGTGGTGTTCGTTTTCGTTTTGTTATCGTGTTTCATCGTTTTGTCGTCAATCCGCATTTAGCGCAAAACAGGATCGAAACGAAAATTGCCCACGAAATCGCCAAAACACCGTTTGGGTCCACCCCTGTGTTGCCTCTTGCCTCTTTCCTCTCTGCCCGCATTATTTTCCTCGTCGCTTTCTTTCGTTGCCTACATCCTTCGTGTTCCTGGTTCAGGGGCTGCGCCAACTACACGTGGCTGGTGAGCAATATATATATATATATATATATATTCATATATACATACACCTATATATACATACATATATATATATCCCGAATGGTGTACGGTCGAAGATGTAGTTGAGGGCTGGCATCGGGGGCTCGGGAGATACATGCTGGCTGTCGAATTGGAAGATAAGGTCGAGCAGTCTTTACATTATGGTTGGTTCTGAACGCTCATTTCTGAAGAAGAAGTATTGTTGGCACCCCTCGGTGCCCATGGTGGTTCTTCAAGCAGAGTGCTCCCTCCAGGATGTTCACCTTGTTATTCAATGAAGCAGAGTCTTTCGCCTCTGGCTGCGCCCGTGGCCCCCGATTTGCCACAACAGCGGCTTCAGCCTGCCACTTCTTAACAAGTTACTCAGCATCGCGCTCTTGCGCGGGACTCCTTCACGCGTTCTCGCTCAGGACTTCTACTCAGGGCTTGTGCTCTCGCCTGAGGTTTCTGCGCAGTGTGCAGAGTCGTTACGGGGCCCCGCCCGCCCGACCCGCCTGTTAGGGCCCGCCCACCCGACCAACCCGTTCGAGACCGCCCGCCCGACCTGCCCGCTACTGTCCGCCCGCTCGCCTGCTTGAGGCCCGCCCGTCAGCGTCAGTGTCCCGGCCGACCCGCTCGCCAGGGCTTGCCCGCCCGACCCGCCCCTCCTCCTCCTTCTCCTCCTCCTCCCCCTCCTCCTCCTCCTCCTCCTCCTCCCTCTTCCCTCCTCCCTCCTCCCTCCAGCCGCCGTCCCGGCTCGAGGTTTTGGGTGCAGCGCCTCGGTACAGGGTACCGCGCGCTGCGAACCTCGACCGCCGCAGGACAGCTGCCATACGCGCGGGCCGCCGCGCCCGCCCGGCGTGCTGCGCGCTAGCCGTGCCGCGCGCACCGCGCGCCGTGCGCCGCCGCCAGGCGTGCCGCGCGCGCCGCGCGCCTGCACCGCGCCCCGGCGTCACGCCCCGCGGGCGGCGCCGAGCGCGCCCTGATCCGGCCTGGCATCGCCGGGCTCGCTGGCTGCGCGGCCAGGCGCGGACGCTGCTCAGCGTCGCGCGCGCCCGCGCGCGGCTCGCGCTCCCGGAGGAGCGCCGCGTGCAGGCCGCCCGCGCTCGCCTGGCCGCCCACCACAGCGCCGACCCCATGATGGGCAAGGGCGGCGCTGGTGGCGGTGGCAAGGGCGCTGCGGGCGGCCGGGGCTGCGCTGGTGGCGGCGCCAAAGGCGGCGCCGGCGCCAAGGGCGGGGCGGGCGTGCCTGGCCTGGGCAAGGGCGTCGGCCTGCAGCCCGGCCTGCAGCCCTGGCTGGGCGCTGTGCCGCCGCCCCCGCCGCAGTGCTGGTGGTGTCCGGCCTGCGGCATAGCGAATGCCGTCGGCGATCTGCTGTGCCGCACGTGCATGCCGATGCCGCCGCATGGGCCGCGCCGACGCTCCGGGCCCTGAGCTGCAGGCGGGTCCCTGAGGTTGCTCGCAAGCACCGGTGCTGGGTGGAGCCGCCGTCTTCGGAGAAGGAGTTGGCCGCCCACCGCAAGAGCCCGAAGCAGACGGCGGCGGCGACTGGCCAGCACATTCGAGCGGCTCGCGGCCTCGGAGTGCAGCCGGCCCAGCTCGAGGCCCAGGAAGCCGAGCACGCTGCCCTCCTGTGTATGATCATTGTTGCTCGCAGCCCTGGAGCGCGCTGCGACCGTCAACGTGCGTTCGTGGCTCGAGCGCAGACGAAGTTGGAGAAGGCTCAGTCCGCCGTCGTCGCCTGCCGCGACGAGCTGACGCACTTGGAGGAGAAGGCGCAGCAGCGGGAGCAGGAGCTCGCTCGTGCGCAGCTGCTGCTGGAAGCAGCTCGAGGAGATGACGCCGGCCGCCAAGTCTGAGGATGGAGGCTTCGTCGAAGTCGGCGGCGCCGACGAGGCCATGCCGCCCGCTGCTGGTGCTTCCGCCCGCGCAGGAGCCGCCGGCCGTCGCCGTGGTCGCGCAGCTGCAGGCGGGACAGCTGCAGCTGGCGGCGGAGATGGCGAAGATGTCCTGCGTCCTGGCCTCGCTGCAGACCGCTCTGGCCGCGGGCAGCCCCGGCGCCGCGCCCGCGCCCGACGTGCCTGGCCCCGTGGCCGGGCCCGCCGCGCCGCCGCCTGGCCCTGCGGCCGCTGCGGATGCCACCGCCGCCCAGCGCCGCCCGCCCGCCGCGGAGGCCCCGCCTGCGGGCATGGAGGCAGCTGCCGAGGCCGCGGCGCGCGAGGGCCGCAGCCCGACGCCTGAGGAGGCGCGACGGCTGGAGGCGGCGCGCAAGCAGTCGGCCAAGGAGGCGCGCCAGGCGGCCAAGGACGTCAAGCGAGCCGCGAGGCCGCCAGGGCAGCAGGGCCTGCAGCAGGCCATGCAGCGACAGCAGGATGCTGCCCATCGGTAGCAAGAGGCGGACTCGCATCGCGGGCGCGGGGCGGTCGCGCCGCCTGGGCGGGTGGACGACCCACGTGCCCTCTCGCCCAAGGGGCGCGAGGGGCCGCCGCTGCGCCCGGGGCGCATGCTGGCCAGCCGCAGCCCGCCCGTACGCCCTGCTCGTGGACAAGAAGACAGCTCTGAGTCGTCGCCGGGGTGATGTCACCCCCGCAGGCCGCGGCACCTGGGACGCCTGCCCCGGAGCAGGCGCCGCGCGGCCTGTCAGCGGCCCGCATTTTGCCGGCTGCCCCCCAGGCGCCTCCACGGGAGGATCCCGTGGACGAGCGCCCGCCTTGCCCTCTTCCCGACTGCCAGGAGCTCTTTCGCCTGCTAGCCGAGCCCTGGCCTGCTGAATCGTCTCTCACACCTCTCTTTCTCGGTCTCGATCAGTCATCCGATTCTTGTCCTTTTAAACCATATCTCCATAGTAGTACTTGCCAGTTTTTGGATACCCTCGGAGCTCACCCCCCCGTCCTGGATTCGGAAATCGTGCGCTACGAGGTTCATACCGATGGGTCTGGAGGCTCGAAACACGCTCTGCTGGGCGGGCCACCTTCTTGGGCCTGGATACTTTGTGCAGTGTCGTCCGACGGTCGATATCGGGTCGAAGGATATCTCACAGGTGTGGATCCCACTCTCTGCGATCAGGTTACTAGTGTCTCAGGTGCCGCCGAATTTCAAGCCGCGCTGTGTGTTGTGCTCTGGTCCCTGCAAGTTCCGACACAATATCAACGATACCCGATCACAGTATATACTGATTTGCTCGTGGTGGTACAGGCGGCTGCGGGTGGGGTGCGGTATGGCTCATGCGGGGACCTACCACAGTTGCTCGATGGGGTCCTCAAGCTACTGAGAACACAGGTACGTCTGGGATGGTTGCATGTACATGGACACTGTGCCGACCCACGGAATGAACTTGCAGATGCTATCGCACGATTGGCCTCTATGGGTATTGCGCCGTCGGTGGAGCCGACGTTTCAGCCGTGGGCGCCACTGCGTGCGGCTACAGCCGCCGTGCCTTGGATGTGGCTTGCCTCCGACCACCGCGCCAGTTCAGGGCAGTTCCCGAAAGTTGGCATGCATCCCCTGCCTCCCGTACTGCCCCCTCTCATGTGTCCCTCACTGGCCTTCTTGTCGCCCGATGCTGGACGCGGACAGGAAAACTCGAGCGTCCCTCGAGATCCTGCCACAGCCTCTGCCCATTCCGTCCTGCGACTAGCCGTGGCAAGTGTCCTTGCTCTCCGGCCGCGCAGGACGAAGCATCGGGGAGGAGGGAGTCGTCTCAGGCGTCGCTATCAGGATGCGACTGGTCTCGACATACCCGGACGGACGATGGCATTGGCGGCGCAGTTTGCACAACATGGCTTATTTATTGTGGGTGCCCTAGAGACGCGTGTACGCCGTAATGCGTGGACGAACGCTGGTAACTTTTTGTGTGCTCACGTCTGCAGCCGGGCCGCAGGGGCGTCTTGGGGTCGCTTTGTGGATCAACACTCAGCGTGAATATGCCCGGACGCGTGCTAGAGCGACGCCACGTGCGCGTCCTGTCATATTCACCACGTCACATGCTTGTCAGTATTCGTGCACCACCGGGTTTGGGCATGGATGTGCTTGTCGGGCATGCGCCGCACTCACGTTACACGGCCACAGCGATTGATCAGTGGTGGTCACAGATGGAGGATGCAGTTAACAGTCGTGCCCAACCCGCTCCTCTCTATTGCTTGCTCGATGCCAATGCTACAGTTGGATCGGTACAGTCAGAGCACGTCGGCCCGGTGGCGCCCGAGTCTGAAACCCTTACTGGCTTACGTTTTCACGACATTCTTCGGACCACCAAACAGTGCTTGCCCGCCACGTTTGTTTTTGGACTCTCACTCTGGGGTCCACGGTACTTGGCTCCCTCCTCGCTCGCGCGGTGAAGTTCCCCGACGCCGCATTGAGTATGTGACGGTCCCACTCGATCGGCTCATGAACGTTCCTCGGCAAGGGGGGGAAGTGGATCTGGACCTTTCCCTTCGGAATGACGACCACTTTGTTGTGGCGGCTGATGTGCAGGTGCCCCCTACCACAGCAGTGCCCCTCGCCTCCCGCTGGCCCAAACTTGTGCACGACCCCGACAAGTATGACGACCCTGTGCGGTATCAGATCTTTCACGATGCCTTGCGTGCGATTCCGCAGCCCAAATTCGACATGCACCCAGATGGCCATGCCCAGTATCTTAATGATCAGCTGAAGCGGGCCGTTGACGAGGCGCCCCCCCCAAACAATCCCCAGCTGGACGGCGCCCCGGACAGAACTGGATTTCGGAACACTCACTTGCCCCAATGGACAGCAGGACCGACGGTCGGAGGTGGTTGCGCACAATGCGACGACGGCTCTCCCAGTTGCTACTAGCTTGTGTTTTTTACTGCTTGGGCCACAGATAGTGCCAGTGCTGACGAGTGGTTTTGTTACCGCAGGTTACAGTGGCGCTATGCCTTGCGTGATGGTCCTGCCCGAGGTTTGTTTGCCGATGCTTGCTATGCCGTAGCATATGCTGGCCATGCTGCCCACGATGCCGCTCGTGCGTTTGCGACCCCTCTGCGCGGCCCTACTGGCCGTACGACACTCCCGCCTTTCACAAGTCACCACTTAGCTGGACTATGGAGGCTCGGTCGGCTGCCGACTCTAGCATTACTGCAGACTCGTGCTCGCCCTGGGCTGCCCGACTTGCTAACCTCGGACGGTGACCCGCCCGGCCCTGCGTCGACGTCGCCCCCTGCCCTGGACACCGTACTGTCTCGGGCCCGACAATGGCTTGGCTGTTTCTGGGCCACCAGTATGATCTTTTTACGTGCCGCATCGTGCGTCACACAGCAGTCTACCAGTCATGACTCTGCGAGACATTGTGCAGAAGTGGCCAGAGGTGTCAGAGTAGCATGGGATCGCAGGCAGTTTACGGAGGCTGTTGCAGCTTTGCGTCGGATCGGGGCTGTGTCGAAACGTCGCCGTTATGATCGTGTCTTGCCGATACTTCGCGACGTTGGGGGTCAACCGATCGCAAGTGACGAACAGGTAGCACAGAGGTGGCAGCAGCACTTCGCAGACCAGGAATTTGCCGCCACCATGCCTGCCGTCGAAGCTCGTCACTTCCAAGGCTACTTTTATCGTGACCCGTACGCCCGGATGTCCTCCCACCCGGTCACCCTTGCATCTTTGCCGTCCCTGGCGGACTTCCAATGGTCTTGCCGTCAAAGCAAGCGGTCCGCGGCGGGGTGCGACGGCATCACAGGAGGGCTCTTGCGGGCCCATGCGTCGGTCTTGGCTGAGTACTAGTACGCTCTGCAGCTGAAATGCTCGCTTACGTTGGTTGAACCACTGCAATGGAAAGGGGGATTTTACAGGGACCTGATCAAGGCTGGCCAGGCTGACCCCTCCCAGTGCTCCAGCTCCAGGTCCATCCTGGTCTCTTCCCAGATTGGCAAGGCTTCACGGCGCTGTCTGCGGGCTCAGCTAATTCCCTGGCTTACCCAGGAGGCTGGCGAGACCCAGTTTGGAGGATTGCCAGGGCGCGGCACGACACATGCATCGTACTGTTTGCGACCGGCACAGGCACTGGCTCGGGCTCGCAATCTGGCTCTTGGTAGCATGTTCCTGGACGTGACACAGGCGTTTTATCGAGCCATTCGTGGCTTCCTCATTCGCTCCACCCTCGACGACGACTCGATCGCACATATCGCGAAAATCAGCTGGCCTGCCCCCCGCGGCCATGCACGAGTTGGCCGCGCGCTTACGCGACCATGGGGCCTCCTTGGAACGCTCCACAGTGGACCCGCACGTCGTCGCTCAGGTTACGCAGTGTTACCAGGCCCCCTGGTTTGTTTGCGCGGGGCCTCGGCAGGTTTCACTTCCCCAACGCTCGGCATTCCCGGGACAGCCGCTCGCAGATGTCCTTTACGAGCTGCAAATGGCTGACTGCGTGCGTGATGTTCGGACGGCGCTAGAAGCTGAAGGTCTTACCGCCACACTGGTTGCACACGACGGCAGAAGCCTCACTGCATTATTGGCCGGCACCGCCGTACATGCCACCTCACTGGCGGATATAGCTTACGCCGACGACGGCACAGTGGTTGTGATGATGCCAGCATGCGATGCGTACCCTGCTTTATGCAAGATACTAGTCATCGTTTCCGACACGTTTGCCAGAAGGGGGCATCTGCTTAATATCGGTGCCACCAAAACCGCTGCTCTCCTCAATTTACGGGGGCCTGGGACCAAGGCAGCGCGACATGAGGTTTGGCACCAGCAGGGCGGGTATGTTCGTGGAACCTCCGAGCTTTCAGGCACCCTTCGGTCCCCTGTGGTGCCCAACTACGTGCATCTCGGGTCCGTTTTTGTGTCGTGTGGCTCCCTGACACCGGACCACGGCCTCGTCCCTCCAGGTCCTCCGCAGGCGAGTATTCGCCACGGCCACCCTGGACGAGGACTCACGGCTTACGCTGGCCGACATCCTGGTGCTCTCGGGACGTCTTTACAACGCGGGTGCATGGCCCGCTCTTGCGCAAGGGGAATCACGACTGCTCCACAGCTCTGTACTGCAGGTTTACAGAGCTGCAGCTCGAGTGCGCTTTCAGGAATCTGGGCCCCAGGTTTTGGATGCCCTCGTTCTGGCCAGGTTGCATCGACCCACGCCAGAGGTTTCGTTGCGGTGCGCACGCCTTCGGTTGTTTGGCTCGCTGTACCACAGTGGTCCTCAGCTTGCCTTTGCCCTACTTGCAGCAGAATGGGGCGCCACGCACCCCGCCCAGCGTGCACGACCGGACTCGGACTTTTGTTTGCTGACCTGGAGTGGCTACGTACCACGGTGAGAGTTTGCGCCGAGCTGCCGCCCCCCGCTGACGACTTGGAGCCCTGGGGGAACCTCGTGCGCAAGAGCCAGCCTGGGTGGGAGCACCTCGCCCGTGCTGCTGCATATGCGTCTGCCCAACAGCACTCGCGCAATGTCCTTGCCGAGCCAGTTGAGAAGACGTTTTTCGCTGATGCCATACCAGCAGGTGTTCCCCCCCGGGTCTGTACAGACGATCGGGGCCTTCTGATAGACCCCCCTGTTCCCGCAGCGGTGCGACGGTACGAATGCCCATGGTGTGCCCAGTCCTTCCCACGGCACAGTAGCTGACGTACTCATGTGTCTCGGTTACACCGGCAGCTTACCACTACTGCACGGGGATATGCACGCACGGACGGGCAGTGTATTACCTGCTTATCTGTATTCTATGACCGACGCCACCTGATTGATCACCTAGCTCTCGACGCCCCTAGATGTCTATGTGCCGCGATTCTTACGGTCTCAGGACGGCTAGACCCAGATACCCTAGAGCTAGTGCCCACGGCCACGTGCGCGGCTAGCTACCACCTGAGCGGGCCTGCC